TTTAATAAGACATAATGAACAATTAAATATAATAAAAAGGATGTAATAAATGACTAATTAATTTAACTAAAATACCTCACTTTTGAAGAAACTTCAATTCTTTTACACTTTGTTGAAAAATATCATACACTAATTTTAATAGCGAGTAAAAATACAATTTAATTTTTATTAAAATATTAATTTTATTTTAAAAAATAATAAAATAGGCTGTAATATTTATTTTAATATTTACTAATTTATTTTCATGATAGATAGACTTAACTTATTATTGATTAAAATAATTAATTAATTAAATATAAACAGTTAGTAATTAATTTATTTCAGTACCTATAAATTAAATTAAGCTGATTCATTTTAAATTTGGAAAATAGTTGGTGGTAAAATTTAAAAATTAAAATAATAATTTATTAATTGATTGATTGATTAATTAATTAATTTTTTAATAATAAAACAATTGTAGAATGTAAAATTTTCAAAAAATTGGATCTATTTTGAGGTTAAAGACAAATTATTTTTATTGATTCTGTAATTAGTGTAAAAATATTATTTACACTTCTAAAATAAATAAATAGCACAATAAAAAATAAAAGTAAAATTTAATTTGTTAAGAAGTTTTAACTAAGAATTAAATAAATAATATATAGTTAATATAGGAAGATAGACAGGTATAACAAGTGTGTTGACTTTCAAGAGACTTAAATATTTAGAAGACTCAATCAATTTGTTTATGACACACAAACCTTATGATAAATATTGATTTACAAAAAAATTAGAATGAAAGGATGAATAAATAAATAAGTTATAATATAATAAATATGTATGTAATTCGTTTATGTTTTTATTTTTATATTGTAAACTTAATTTTATTAACAATTTTTTTTTTTTTTTAAATGAAAAATAAATATGAAAACAAAATAAAAAAAAATGACTTATTTACTTATTTATTATTAATAAAATTATAAACTAAATCAAAAAATATTTTTATAAAATCTCAATAGTTTATTTTTTTATTTAAAATTTAAAAGCAATATCTAATGATTAAAAAAAAATTTACAAGTTATAAAGTAATGAGAGTGATTTAAAATAGGATTAAAGCTATATAAAAAGTAAATAATGCAAAGAAGAAGGAAAAAAAGGAGTAAGAAATAGAAATATTTTATTTTTAAATTAAAATGATTAAATTAAATATCTTGTAGATAGATATCTAAGAATGCTTATTCTACTTAAGTAGCAAGGACAATTATTAATTAATTAAAATCATTAAAAGCTTTGTATATTTTACTCTCTAAACAAAAAGATTTATACATTATACATTTGACCGTCTGTCTGTATGAATAATAAATATTATTTATTAATTGTTTATGATTTGTAAAAGATCTATTATAAATTTTTTCATTATAAATTATTGAAGTTTATCTAAAATTTTGAACATATTTTTTTGTTATAAAGTAAATTTTATTTATGTAACATTCCTTAATTTTGGTTCTAAACAATGTTTTTCGACATTTTTTACAAACAAAATATTTTGAATGCTCTAAAAATTGGCGATTTCTCCAAATTCATTCATTCGGATTTTGAAATAAGAATCTATGGTATTTGAATTTATATTAAAGAAATTATTTATTTATTTATTATTTAGTCCATTTATTTTTTGTATTTTTAAAAAAAATCCTTTTGTTTGTTTTAAAAGGTAAGAAATATTTTTGATTTAGTTTTCTGACAAGGAATTTTATGAATTTATTTCTTTTATTAAGCTGTCAGAAAATTAAAAATGATAATAAATAAATAAATTAATTAATTACATATTTTCCTACAAGAATTAGTAGGAAATTTAGTTAGTCCAATTTAAATCATATCAATATACCAATAAATTTAACTAATTAAAACATTTTGTTTGTTTGTTTCTTTTTATATATTTAATATCTCTATAGTTTTTAATACAAAGTATAAGCAAAATGAATTGAAGAAGAATATCTTTTGTAGGTTGGTTGGTGAGATAAATGCATTTATTAGCTATTTTTAATAAAATTATTTGTTAATTGATTAATTATATTATTAGATTAAAATTCTTTGAATGGATGGATATTTTTGAATTCAAAAGCTACTGCTGCTATCTGTTTTAGAGTTTACTTCTTTTCTAAATATTCTTAGTTTTCCAAATAAAATCATAGCTCATATATTTTACTTTAATTATCACAAATGCAAATGAAGAATCATATTAGATTTTTTATGAATGTTCATTTTTATTTAAAGTAATCATTATTTTATAAATATACTCAAATCAGACAAAATATTAATCTATCCTTAAATAGTATTGTCTGTCTGTAAATCCTTAAAAAATTGACTAAATTATCTTCCCTTTTAGAATATAGATAAGAAGAACAAAGATAGAAAAAAAAATTTGAAAAGATTGTAATAACAACTATAAAATTAGAGAATATAGTGGAATCTTTAGGAGTAACCTAACAAAGTTCATAAAAAGCAGAGAAAAAAATAAGATAGGAAAAAAATTATAAAAAAATAAACTGAAGTATGCTAATTTTAAAGAAATTAGGTTATTATATTAGTGCTACAAAATTGTACATTTTTTCTTAAGCTATTGCAACATTATAAGCTACCTATAGAGCTTCTTTGGATCGCTTAGCACTCATAAAGGAAAGTTAATTCTATATTATGCTTTAATTTTAAAAGTAAAATAATTAGGTTTAAAGTTATTTAACTATATCTGAATAAAAAATTATTAATAAAAATTATTTTTATTTTAAAAATAAATTCAAAAAGATTTCAATTAAAGGCTAAACAAGCAAGCAAGTTAGTTAGTTAGTTAGTTAGTTAGTTAGTTAGTTAGTTAGTTAGTTAGTTAGTTAGTTAGTTAATTAATAGAAGAAGTGTATTTTAATTAAATTAATTTCAAATAAATTTAAATTCTGCTCTTAAGTTTTTCTTAGAAAATTTATCTTCTAGATTCTAACTTAGATGCATGGATGAATTATCCTTAATATAATCATTTAAATTATGTGAATGAAAAAAAAATAGATAAAAATCTAAATTATAGTTTTTAATTTTATTTTGGAAACAAATAACTTTTGCATTCAAATAAAAAAATTCATAGTTGATTATTTTTTACAAGTAAGTAATCTTCTCATAAAAAAATTTTTAATAGATGCATGATATAAAAATAATCTCATACTGAATTATACTCAAATTCATTAAATAAATTTCATTCATTTTTTCTTTTTTAAATTTAATATTTTTTTTTAAAGATGTGTCAGTAAATTATCTTTCGTACAAAAAATTGCTTATATTTTAATTATTTCTTATCAAACTTTCATAACATCAATAAACTTCTAATTATTAATATATACTTAGGTACTTAATACAAAAATAATCTAAATAAATTTTTAATTTCAAAATAATGCTTCAAAAAAAGTATAAGAGATAAAAATATATATTTCACTACAATTCATGTAAATCATAAGCTATTTATGGTAGATAGTTTTATGCAAACTATTTAAATGTTTTCTCTAAAGCTATGAGTGATAAAATTTATGTAAAAATATTATTAACAATTAATTTTTTACTATATTTTTTGAGTTGAAAAATAATCTTAGTATTTGTTTAGTTAAATATATAGCCTTTCATTATTCTTTCAACAAGAGTATTTAATAAAAATGATTTATCTCTTATTTCTTATAGAATATTTGTATCAATTTCTTCTTAATTTATTAACAATTCATAAAGGTGATAAAAACATTTTATATAATAATTACTAGGTATATTAACTTTTATCATTTTTTTAGATTAAATGCTATTTACTATTTTATGCATTTCGTAGTAGTCTTCACAACTTTTGCTTGAGCATTTTTCATCTTTATTTTTAGTAGATGACATGTAGTATTCTTATCCACCATTCAAGATTAAATCTATACTTCTAACAAATTTTAAATCAAGTTTACATAATTACTCATTAACATGTTATAACTCTTCATTTTATTAGCAAGAAATAACTTTGAGGCCAAATTATCTTTCAATAGTCAAAAACAAAAATAGCAATAAATAAATTGAATTCCAAATTATTATCTGCAAATGATTAATGTAAAACATGCTTTAGTTGAAATTTTAGAAGTTTTTAAAATCTACTAAATTTGTATTTATTCCTACACAATAAATATACAAAGCAAATCTACCTATCTGAGCAATATAGCTAGTGTTATAGAATTAATTATTGTAATTACGACTAAATGATTCAATACATTTGTTTAATAGAATACTTTGAATTGTGGCAAGGCGAATTAACGGATTTTACTGATTTTAATAGAAATAGGACATTTTATAATTCTAAAAAGCAAATATTATCAAGTTACAGAAAATTAGACTAATACCTGAACCAATGTAGAAGAAAGATTTTAGTGTTATGTAGTAAGTATAAATTGTTGTAAAGGTTTTTATTATTTTTAAAGCATGTCTTTTGAATATAAATTATTCAAAAGAATTATTATTCAATATTATCACTTATAAGATAGATAAAAATATATTGAATTAATAAATAAAATAAGCTAAGTATCTGTAATTCAATGAAATGTTTTAATTTTGCAATAGTTCTATGTGAAAAAAGAATATGTATTAAACCAAATTCTGAATAACTGCTCTAACAAAATGAAACCTAAAGGTTAAAGCAACACACGCTAAGTTGCTTATTCTATTAGTAAAAATAGGAAAAATCCAACCAAGATTTAAGACATCCAAGATTATAAAAACTGTGTTATCTTGGAAAAATCCAAAGAAAATTAATATTAATTTATCTAAACTAAAACTTATCCAGTAAGTATAAGAGTAAGATGTTTCACCGCTTAAATAACATTTAAAGCTAAATATTATGTTTAACACATCAATAGTATAATTAAATAGTAAGAAGATTATTAAATATCTTTTATTTGTAGTAATATCTATATACCTATTCATTCTCTTATCTTTATTTGTTTATATTTTGAAATATTTAATATAACAAACTGTATTATTATTTTATCAATTTTAATTTTTTTTATTTTTTTATTATTTATTTATAAAATAATTATGTTTTATTTTTGAAATATAAAAAATTATATAAAGAATTTGGATGAGTATAAAAGAATTCTTTTAATTTAAATTTATTTACTGTTTGTTTTTAAACTAAATTAATTAGGTAGGTTCTTTAATTTAATCAAGAAATGTCTACATTAAATTTGAACAAATTTATTGTTTTTTCTTATTATTTTGATATAAAAATTATAAAGATTGCATAACCCAATACTAAATTGCTAACTAAATTAAATTACCACTTTTTTATTTTTATAAAAAATGTCTACAGTAATTATTTATATAGCAGTTCAAACAAATTTTCTATATAAATTAATTAGGTCTCTAATTTACTCACAATGCGTCTATAGCATTTATTTACCTTTTCTATAATAATTGAATGGAATTTAATAAAAATTTGATATAAAAGAATTTATTTAATTAACCAAAAATATTTCATAATCCATACTTTTTTCTATATAAATTAATTAACTCTTTAATTTACTCATAATGTGTCTATAGCAAAATTATTAATAATTATTATTATATTTTTTTAATATGAATTATACACAACATATGAACATTAAAATTTCTAGTAAAAGAATTTGTTTTATTACATAAATTATTTTAAAAGAAATTAACTAAGTAGGTAGACACTTTAATATTCTCATAAATCGTCTATAACAAATTTGAAGATTATATTTTTATATTCACTTATTAAAAAAATATTAGATATTTATTGTAATAGTTAATTCACTACGCTTAGCTTAAAAAACAAATAATTAAAAAATAAATTTTTAATTTTTTATCATAATTTAATATTTTTTACTAACAAAATTAGTATAATTAATAAATCGCCCTATATTCCATATATAATTTTTATTATTTATTAGTTGTTGATCTTTTTTCGTTTAAAATTTGATAATAAATAAGTAAACAACATTTATCATCTTTTATTATAATGTATTTAATTTTGCAATCATAAATGCTAAATTCACTTAGATAATTATTCATTCTATTTATATAATTTTCTTAATATAAATCTGCTTCTTAATAATTAATTAATTAAATACTTTTTTCAACATACTCTTATTAAGAAATACTGCTAATTAATTAGCAAAATAAATGAATTAAATCTAAACTATTGAAGATCTTAAGCTCAACTAAGAGGAATTCTTCATTTTATCTAACAAAAACTACAGAAGCTGTCCTAGACATCCTGATAATTGGATTGTATCATTAAGCACTAATCCTAGTTCTACCCAGTTTCTTCAATGCGCTGAATGTTTTTCTGAGAATCCCAATTAGCAAACTCTGAATTTAGTTGGACTCATCAAAGAAAATGAAAAAACTATTTTTAAAAATTACCCAATTTATGGGGAAAATCATATTTATGAAAAACTTAAGTAAATCTTCAAGGCCGATTGCTCTATTGATGGATTAAAATCTAAAATTTCATCATTTTTCTTAAATTTAAGAAAATAAATAGAGCAAAAAATCAATCATAAGGAAGAATAAATGATGAGCTAAGCAAAGTCACTTTGGAGCTTTAATGAATAGGTAATTATTTAATATAATAAACTTGCTGAAAAGGAATAGCTTAAGAATATTATCACCAATTTCAAAGATGACTTTGACAAGTAAAATGAGCTTTTTAAAGAATTATTCACTCGAATTTCTACTAACTAGAAAAGATATTAAGAAGAATTGAATGAAAAGATAGATTTATTTGAAACTCAAAAATCGATGATCAATTTTGAAATAGCTGAAAATATCAATTAGAATATCTTGCAATTAATTGATACAATTGATATGTTTGTTATCAAAAACTTCTAAGATCTTAATATTAATAATTAAAAAGAAAAATTTGACCTCTATGTATAAGATATTTAAAATAAAGACAAAAATGAAATGACAACAAGCTAGTTAATGACTAAGTTAATTAGCAATAAATTAAATTGCTGTTCCAAGGAGTTAATTAAAGAGCTACAATAAATAATGTTCAAATTTTCTAACAGTATAGATAGAATTGACCTTAAAAACCATTTAAATGAAGATTTATTGCAATTAGACTTTGATAAAATGAAAGACGAAGAAGTTGATTTAATTAAGGATCTATCAAAAGGCTTCATTACAGTAATATTACAATTTTAATTATATCTACTTCATATCTTTCTTAAATAATTTAGTTTTTACCACCCCAAAATAAATATCAAATTTTCAACTCAATTCTAAATTTTTTAACAAAAATATTTTCATATTTTGTCTAACCCTATTTTTTTATTTTTATTTATTGGTAAATTTATACTGAAATCTAAATAGATTATATAGTTAACTATTATTTCATTTTTCAATTTTATTTTAATAGGGTAAATAAAAAGTAGAAGTAAGAAGTGAGAATAAGAATAAATTAATTTAATTAATATCAAATAAATTTAATTTCTGTTCAGAATCATTTCTTAGCAACTTATCAACTCACTTTGATTGTTTCCTTCCTATAATTAACAAAATTGACTTCAAAGATTACTTATAACCTAATAAGACTCCAATAAATGCAAATTTTCTAAATAATTTGTAGTTTTAAGAAATCGAAGATCTTGTTTAAAGATTAGAAACTTCAAACAATAAGTAGAATTAGAAGAATGTGAATGGAAATCTATTAAATTAATAAATAGAGATGAAACAGTAAAAACTAATTTCTCTTTTTGAAAACAAAACAAATTATTGTAATGATTAGTTTATTCAAAATGCTAAAAACTCTGTTTAAAAATATTCATAAATTGTCAATCATTTATTTTTAAATGTAGAGATTTTCAAAGATAACAAAAGCTAAACAATTGATTTTAGCAAACTTACAACAAAACAAATAGATAATTTAGAATAACTAGTTAATAAAACATCTTAACTTACTGAGTAATTTGGACAAGCTTACTACAATAGTACCTCCCCTATTCTTGAATAATAAAATTCGAATTTTATTTTAAATAAATTAGGAAATAATAAAGATATTGAATAGTTATTGGTAAATTATCCAATTTTTGAAAATATAAATTTACCTTAATTGAATATAGAATTTATAAAATCATATAAAGATGATAGTTAATAATTAACTTTAGAAAAAAAAAAGCTATCTGGCTATATAGTAAAGCAACCCAAATCATTAAAAGGTTAAATATTTACAAGAGGTAAATTAGATCCTAAGATAAATTACATTTTTAGATGTAAATCCAACAAGTATTTAGCATGCAATCATTTAAATTTTGGAATACTAAATATGTAAGAAGTAAATAATAAAATGCTATATTAAGAAAATTGTTGCTTTGACACAACTAAAACTAAATATGGTTTAGATAAAATATTAAAAGGAAAACACTTATGTGATATAGATATAATAAAATAAATAAAAGAAATAGAAATTAGAGTCAATATTTCTAAGAGAGTTGTATTATTTATGGATTATCCAAAATATTAAAATATAAACAAAGTTGAAGAGTCTAAAATAATATAAGACAGGGATTATTGCTTTGGAATAGGTTTCGGTAATCCAGGCGATGATTTTAATATTGAAATAGAAACATTTTTAACAATTGATTAACATTTTGATAACTTTAATTCAAAATGATAGTATTAAGAAAAATAATATAATAATTATTGAGTAAGAATTCATTATAAGAATAAATTTAAAATAATTAAATATAAAACTATTAAATATAACTATTTTTAGTTATTTAATTTATTTATTTATATTATTTATATCAATAAGTATTTTTTATAAAAAACGAAATATTTTAAATTAGTATTTTATTTTTAATTTTACAACTTTCAAATTTTATTTTTTTCTTTCAAAAATTAATATCTTATTATTAAAAAATATACTAAAACTTTTAAATTATTTAAAAATAATATTTTATACAACAAAGGAATTTATTTCATTTTATTTTTTAATTAGCTTTTTTACTCAGAATTTATTGTTTTTCACAATGTCTTCGTTTTTGAATATCTTTGAGGAATTTGGATTCAATATTCTAATTGATATCTATTCAAATTTAAAGGAAGAGCTATGACAAAAGCTAAAGAAATTTGATTATAGCTTATAATAATTAATAAATCAAACTAATTAGTTAATCAAAAAGTTAATTAACAAATAGGTAAGAAAAGTAAGTAGACTTTCAAAAATAGGAAAATTAGTTATAATAGCTCAAGCAATTAGGGTTCAAATTAGTTAAGGATGCAATCACAACACTCTCAACATTAGATCTAACATCCATAAGGATCATCCCAAGGTTTTGGAATGTTACAACAACAAGGATCATAAGAATCAGACATCATTTATAAGAAATTAGTTTCGCATATTTAAAATAGATAGAAGATCAAACAAATGTATAAAGACAAAGGTATTCAGATGCTAGATAAGCCAGAATAGATTAGTAAATACTTTTCACATAACTTATTTTAATAATTTTTGAATTTACTTCTATATTTAAATTGAAATTTATGGCTGTTTTAATGAAAAGCTTACTAAATAGTCTCACATATTATTAATTATCAATTATTATCATAATTATAACTATTAATCAAAAGTTTCAGATATCAAAGAACCACAACTAGATCCCACTTAAAGTCTGATTTATAATATCATCAAAACTGAATTAGAGCAGGAAGGATTCTCTGATTTTAAGTACTTAGGATAGGGAAAGTAAGGTTGGGTCTTTTTAGCAAAAGAGTTATCCACAAACAGAAGATTTGCAATCAAAGGATTTCATGTCAAGAATTCTTAGGGCTAAATCTTCTAAGAAGCATTCAACGAAGCACAATAAGAAAGCAATATGCTCCAAAAGTGTAAAGGATCTTCATATGTGGTCAATTTGTTAAAGAAAATTGAAGGAAAGGAGTTTACCTACTTAATTTTGAGTGAATGTTAAGGTAAAAATCTTCATTAATTTATGAGATTGTTAAACAAATTTTATTTTAAGGAACTCTTAAGGAACTTATTGAAAAGAATCCAAACAAAAGACTAAATGAATTATCTGCAATCAAGTATGCTAAAGATATTGCTGAAGGTCTTTTGCACATCCATTCCTAAAAGTGTATTTCCAATGATCTCAAAATGGATAATATACTCATTGACTATAATGGAAATGCTGTAGTTTGTAAGTTTTTACATTAAAAAATTCAATTTAGATTTTATTTACTTTGTTTTAATTACTAACTAACTAATAAATAAATAAAATAATTATAGCTGATTTAGGATTGGCAGATAATATCACAAAAACATCTGGATACGGAATGAATGAATATGCAATTCTTTATATTTCTTTTATAAAGCCTAATTTCTTAAGTTTTTCTTTATTTACAGTTAGGAAACTGGTCATTCTAAGCTCCAGAATGTTATGATCCGAAGACATTTAAAGATTATTCAGAGGAATACAAAAAACTAGGGTTAAACATAAGCACAAAACCAACTATTAAAGTAAATTTGTTAAAATCTAAACCAAAATTTTAACTTATATTTTTGTATTAAAGAGTGAATGCTTCTCATTAGGTAATTAATAATCTTACTTACTTATTTATTTATTTAGTTATTTTAATTGATTGATCAGTATATACAGTAAACCCTCTCTATATTGGGCATAATAGGGTTTAAGATTATTGGTTAAAATAGTTAGTATTTACCCAAATTATTGAGAGTTCCCAAAAATATATGCATACCCAAAATAGTGATATTTTACTGTAGATAAATAGATAGATATAAAGATTAATAATAAGATATTCAATTAGATAAATTGTTTAATAATAAAAAGGTTATCTGATTTACCATATGGTTTAAGACTTAGATTTCACTTTACTTTTCAAGAAACACTTACCATTGAATTACAGCATAGAATTTTAGCAATTCACATACAAAAATCAACTTAAGTTCATAATTGACGGATTAACTAAATTCAAGCCAGAAGATAGGTTATCGATAAAAGATGTTTTAATTATATTAAAAGGAATTATTTCATTTGAATTTTAACTAGATTAGAAATTTATCGAATTCATGGATGATCATGATCAAAACACTTAGCAATTCATTCGCAAATTCAAAAAAGACATTGAATTTGTTTAGAATTCTTCAGATAAATTCTATCCTATTATGTAACTAACTAATTAACTTAATTCCAACAATTTATGAATCTATTATTAATATTTTTTTAAGTAAAAAGGAATAGGACTTCATCTAAGAGATCCTCTCAAAGCAATAGCAAGGACAGGTTTAATCAATTCTAACTTATAACATTTTTAATTTGTGTAATTTAATAATGATTTCAATATATTTTATAGGATGCAATAATTTCTCAGTTACGCCAATCAAATATCTAATTAGAATAACAAATTAAATCATTAAAAGATATTCAAAAGCAATTAGAAAATGAATTAAAAGCACTTAGAAATCAAAAAGTTTAGTTGGAAGCAACAACAGTTGAGTCAAATCAAACAATTATCTTGCTAAAATAAGAAATAGAAAAACTAAAGCAGACTCAAAAAACATTAGAAAATGATTTGAAAGCATAATCTAATTAAAAGCAGAATATTTAGAATTTTAATTCATTTTAACCTATCGTTTCTTAATAGGAAATTTAAAAAAAGGAAGTAAGTTTTTTATATAGCAATTAAATTATTACAAATAATTTATTATTTTATCTTAATATTAAACAATTAAGGAAGAAGAAGCTTTAAAAAAGCAAAAGCAAGAACAAGAGCAAGAAAAGTAAATTCAATTGCAAAAAGCTTAAAACAAGTAATAAATTAAAATTTTCTACACTTAGAAAATTAACTAAATGATTAAGTTCATATTTAATTTAAATTAATTTAATACAAATTTATTTTGTTTTAGTTAATTTAAATTCAATTAATTTTTACACAACAAGCCAAAAATGAAACATAAAAAGTAGTTTATAATAGAGTAATCAAACATACAAACATATTAAATTTTTAAGAATAAATATAAAAATATAAAAATAGAAAAAGCATATTTTCCAAAATTTTCTATTTATTTCCTCCATTTTATATTTAATGAATGTTAAAAGTTAAAAATAACTTGAATATTAATTAATGCTAGGTAAGTTGATTGATCTCTTTCTACATTGCTTGCTAAATTTATATATTTTTAGTAGATAAATTTTTATTAATTATTTAGGTAAGAGTATTTTTAAGAATGAATATCTTGCCAATTTAAATATAAAAAATAGAAATTATTTCATGATTACAAATTAATTTTGAGTCAGTAACCTTCAAACAATATCTTAAATTTTATTTTGATCAGAAATTTAATTTAAAAAAAGAATAATATTATAAGCAAACTAGCCAGCCAGCAAGCAAGCAACAAATTCTATTAAAAATTAAATAATTTTCATTTTTCAATTTAGTTTTAAAACAGAATTTTTTAATTTATTTTTGAAATAGTTTGTTTTAAAAATAAATGTATACATATTTTAATATTAATAAATAATAGGAAAAAGTAATTAGCATAAATATATTTATTTATTTACCAACACAAAATCTTAAAAAACAAACTTATCATTTCAGTGCAACATATACTTTTTTAATTAATTATTGGAGATTCTATCACCATCTTTTAATCTTATCTTTATAATTAGAGGGTAATATTTTATTTTATTATTATTCATTAATTTTAACTATATTATCAATTTATATTCAATTCATTTATTCATTAATTAATTAATAAATCAAATAAATAAATAGATAGTAACATTTTGAAGGAATAATTCTGATTTAATGTTGATTTAATCATTTAAAATTTAAAATAGTCTGTAAATTATTAGCTAATTTTATACTTTTTAATTAATCAATCTACTCACTCAGAATATAAAATAATTATTTATCTTTTAATTAAAAATAGGGTGTAATCATTAATTAATTATTTATTAAAGAAAAAATCATCGCTTTCTTTTTGATTTAAATAAACATGGGAACTTATTTATTTATTTATTGATTTATTTTAATATTCTAAATAGTTGGTAATTTATTTATTATTTTAATTTACATTCTTCAAACTATTTTATTTAGATTTTTAAATGCATGCTCAATTTATATTTAATTTTAAAAATAGGCAGTAATTCATTTATTTATTTGATTGAAGAATTTCAGTAAGATTAAAGGTTCCTGATGAATTTGTTTTCTCATTTAAAATAGCGAGTCATTCATTCATATTCTTTAAAAATTTTAGTTAGATTAAAAAATAAATCCATATTTAATTTATTTTTCAATTAAAAATAGGGAGTAATTAATTAATAAATATTCTTGAAGCATTTTAGTTAGATTAAGATAAATATACAAATCAATATACTTACTTCCATGATTGCTTTACTTACTTACTGAATATATTTTAATTTTCAAAATAGTGCGTAATGAATTAATTTATGCTCAATTAGAATAAAAATAATGCTCAATTTATTTTGACATATTAAAAATAGGAGGTAATTTATTAATTAATTAATATTCTTGAAGCATTTTAGTTAGATTTAAAAAAAGATGTGAGATTGATTCATTTTATTTATTTTTAAAAATAACAAATAATAAATTAATATTTTGATTTATTTTAGTTAAATTGAAAAATAA